GTGTGTGTGTGTGTGTGTGTGTGTGTGTGTGTAGCTGGCTGAAGAGGAGCAGTGGAACCAGTTGCCTAATGGAGAGTACACCACGGCTGAATCCCGTCCCAACGCCTACGTCCCGGAGACCGGCCCCCTCCCTCTGCCCAAACCCTACGGAGCCCTGGCCCCCTTCAAGCCCTCCCAGCCAGGGGCCAACATGAGACACATCCGCAAGCCAACGCTCCAACCCTTAGACATCTAGGAAATAATACACTTGTATCCAACCAGTGGGTGTTTTGTCTTATTTCAAAGGTCAGATATATACAGAACATGTCTCTGATTGGCTGAAACACTAAACAGATTATTACAGCATCCCATAATCAATGTGGGAACCTTGATGTGGTAATGAAAAACTTAAGTCACAGGCTCCTCCAATAGTGCAACATGAATATATATAGGACATAGAACAAATCAAACAGACAAAATAGATATAGTGTATTCCTATTTGTTGGTTTTTTCCTTTTTGAACTTTGTTTTTTACAGACTCAACACAAAAAAGACATACATGGAGATGCTTAATAACTGCACCTGTTGTCCATCAGATATAATCATGCCTGTCCTCCTTCGACACCATAAGGACATACAACTTATTCAAATGTAAAATAATTTGAATATGAAACATATTTTCCGGTGGATTTCAGTGATGTTTCTCTTTGTATCACACATGTTTTTGTCTCTCTGCTCTCCGACACACCTCTCAGTGACACTCCTACTTCTTGTGGATGTTTGTTTCCTCAGTGTCCAGCATACCACTGTCGTTCAGTCATTTAAAAGCAGTTCATGTGTACTGCATCTGGTTGTAATTTGGTAGATTTTGTTTTAAGTTACTGGCAAAGGCTTGTTTACGCTCAGGCTTGCAATATCACCAAATACTTTGAAGGGGTGACTGAGGACATGGGAGCTGATGCTTGTGTTCTCTGTTACATAATTTCCACCAAAAAAACTATTTTTTTCCTTTACTGTATGTCTGTGATGTGTCATGATTTGTGTTTATTCTTTCTCCTTTCTTAATAGAAAATCATTGTCCTGCCTGTTCTAAAAAGTATATTTATTGCTTTTCAAACGGTCAAACAAGGACGGAAGTATGTGACCTCTATTTCAACTAACCCTACACACACAAGAACCAATATATGATTAAAGCAAGTGTTTAATATTATGCATAAGTAGAGGTCCAGACATAATGATGGAATATTAAACACTACAGATTTATATGCCGGTCCGAAAATTGTAAAAGCTTTGTCCTTGTCTTTTTTTTTGGATCATTTCATTTTTCGGTACACTGAAATAAGTCTGAATACTCTTCTGTCCTGTTGCCCTTTCATCCCTCCCACTTGTAATCTTCAACGGATGAATAAATTGCAACGGGTTTAAATCTAAGCCGGGCTAAGGGCGCCTGCTTTATGTCTGAAATGATCAATGTAAATATAGAGTCAGTATCAGGCAATGAAAGAGCATAGAGAAGGACAGAGGAGATTTTTAATGAAGAGGAATAAGAGATGGCAGTCTGAAAAGAGTCAAAGTGAAGTAAGGATAAAAGTGGAGCTCTGTCCGTTAGTGACCGAAAACCATGTCGCTTTGAAGCTTCAACGAATTTACTGGAAGTTGTTCTATCGGCTGATCTGAGCTTGAGGCGAAAGCAGATTCCTGTCAATGAGGTAATAGACTATGCTGCCTGTGAGCATGTGTGTGGTAGTGAGCCTAGTTACTGTGAAGTCAACACAAAAATATATAAATAATAGTATAAACAAATTATTGTTAATTAATTTATAATTTAAAAAATGTAATAATTGTTAATTATTAATTATTTTTGATAATTATAAAAAAATAAACATTAAAATATAATAAAAATTGCTATGATTGATCAAAAGTATTCCTAATAAATGTAAGCTAACAGGTGCTAAATGAACACCCACTTCAATGGTTTGTAAGATGTTGCATTTGAGAGCACATTAAAACTAGTTAGCAAAAAGCTAAAAACATTAGCTAAAGGGTTGAAAAAAATGTGCAATAGGTTAACTGTTATATCCCGCCATGTTTGTTAATGTATTTATTATGAAGTTATTTATCAGGTTTATGTTGTGTGTTTCATGTTTAATTATAGTTTATGTTTAGATGTAGGTGCATGTTTAGTCTCATTGTTCACTTGTCAAGTTGCAGTCACTCATGTCTACTCTACTGTCATTGAACTTCTGTTTTATTTTGCACTTACCTTTCCCTCTCGTTTGGAGACCGAAGAGGCGCGTTCACACCGCAGTACTTTTCCCACTTTAGTTCCGATATAGTTCCGAAATGTTGCGTTCACAACTTTATAGAGTCTATGGTTCACACCAAAAAAATCCGGACCTTTTTACCCCCTTTTCCGTCCCTGCTAGAGAGCACGTACTTTTGTGGGAGACAAAGGTTCCTATTTCTGATTGGCTGGGCGGATTGCAAACTACGCCCCGTAAAACTCCCAAAAAGTTTTGTGAAGCCGCCATTTATTATCCTCGCATTAGCATTATTAGCATTAGCCCAGCGCACAAACGCAGAGAGACTAACTTATGGCAACACAAAATAAAACATGGGAACGTTGGAGTGATGAGGAGGTGTCTGGAGCTTCTACTGAAACCAGTCCCCAAATCCGGGGAATTCCGTCCGGGGGCTTCGGCTGGCAGTATACGCCATAGACTTATATAAACGCTAGATGGCTCAAGGAGGAGTCGCCAGCGTAGCTCACCAGGTGGCCATCTTGCCACAGTGAACAACTACTGCTACAGTACAGCTGTTGTAAGGTGAGTGATCTGCACAAAAATACTCTTAACTCGCTGAAATCTTGACTGATTTACAAACGGTTTGGTTTATTATAAACGTTATTAGCATGGCTATAATACAGGAGACAACAAGACATGTTAGAAAAAAAAGTACAGGTCGCTGCCTATTTTCTGTTTGTAAGCCCACCTGTATATACGGCAACTTCAACCCTAACGCCGGACGGTGATTGGGTGTTCGTCGTCTTCTTCTTCTTCCTGCAGTCTGTCCTGATTAAACGGATTAGGTGTGATGTTCCCTGTATACAGTCCACACTTGCGCTAGACATGAATTCAAGTACTCTTGTATTCTTCTCGCATAGAGTAGTCTTGTGATTCAGTCATGTTATGGTTAGAGTTGGGTCGTCATGAAAAGGGTTGTTCCAATAGTTAGTTTGACTCTTATAGGTAAATGCAAGAGTACTTAGATTCATCCCTATCTGGATGGCTTAGCGGTAAAACTCCCGGCTAGCGGCCTTATGGTCATTTTAGCCGGCTATGGCTAGCGGTGCTTAGGCTTAGCTTCTACCTCTGTTCTCCGATTTACTCTTCTATAAGTAGTGATAATTTCATAGTGAGTCAATTATCTTTCCTTGTCTCTGAGTATAGTGTTTACTGTTGTATTAATGTGTTCGTTGGTTTGTATAGTGTATAATCGTATAGTTACTTATTATTGTAATATATGTCAATTTGTAATGTTTAATACTTCTTATTATTTGTGGCCCTCTTTTATCTTTTCGTCCTTTTCGTCGAGTATGTTAAAAGAAGATTAGGGAGATAGTTAACGGGACTGGCGGTACATGTCTATGAGTTATCTTTGGAGTGATCTTTATTGGTCATTTTACTCATATGTTGGCTGTCTTACTTGCTTATTATAAATTATTATTATTCAAATCTTGAATCAATGTGTCTGCTCATTTATCACGATTTCTTATACATATCTTCTAGATGTGTAGTTATATCCACATCGAAAGCGGGCGTTAGTTGTGCCAGCAGTGTGCGCCCGCCTTCGACGTCCTAAAGACGAAGTGTGTGCAACCAGTATGGCGATTAAATGACCAGAAAAAGTCCTGTGGATTTTATACGGTCTGGACCACTTAGGTAAAACCGCTCGAATCAAAACCGGCGCGTGTCTCTTTCACAGTACATAAAATTGCAGGTCCGTTATCCGGAGAGCGCTAGCCGTTACAATCTCTGTCTGCTAGCTAGCCATCTCTCACTCATAGTCCGGCTAAGCTACTACTGGGGCTAACTAGCCTCGTAGGGTCTTGATTCATGTCTAGTCGCAAGTGTGACTTATTCAGGACCCCTCCTAATCCGGTTTACTTCGGCGACTGCAGTGAAGAAGAAGAAGACGAAACCAAAATGACCGTCCGACGTTGTTGAAGTGTCTGACATTCATATGGTATCTGTATTATATTTTGTTGATCTACTGAGTGTTGGCGCGACGACCGTTTACCTCTGTCTTCTTGGCAATCGGTTTTTTGTACCTGCTCGGTTAGTAACGGTGTTCCGTCGAGCGGTTAAGTATTGTAATACTAGATATCCACGTGATAACTTTATTGGTATCGAGACGAGTTAAAAGTTTGCAAACCAAACAATGATTTGAGTTTTACATCAATACTATGAGTATGAATATTAATATTNGTAAAATATATAATCTACAATAAAATCTCGTTTAAAATGGTGTTACGATGTCTAAAGTTACTGATAAGTCACATGTTTCCTGCCTGGCCTTGCCCTCTCTCGTCTGGGCGCTAAGAGAGGAGTCCTCAACCAGTGCAGCAGCACCACCAGCAGCTGACTGTTGCTATCTGTAAACTATGGCTCTGAAACATAATTTCAGCCAATCAGCGTCGTCAAATCTGATTATTGGCGCCCGGTGCAGGGTTATGGCTAGAAAGGATCCGTCTTGTGTAAAACTCTCGCGAGAGTTTGCGAGTCACGTGGCTGAATGTTCACGTTTGACAGGCAGCCTTTCAGTTACGATCGTTAACATTAGTGGGCCACAGCAAATGATGGTGAGAAGCTAAACTATCTATTAATTATGTCAATTACAGGGAGTGTGATTGTAACTGTGTGTGTGA